GTGTGTGTGTGTGTGTGTGTGTGTGTGTGTGTGTTGTGAAAGACTCTCAGCTATTCAGCTCTGTAAAAATCACTACTCCTATTGTCACTAAAACATTTTTATGTTTGCTGATGTTGATCAGCTGCAGCTGCCATCTTGGACTGGGTTGACTTTAAAAGTTGCAGATCCACTAAAYACTTCCTGAGAGTTTAATTTAAGGCAGTTCTTAAGATATTTGCAAACAGAAGAGCATGTTTAAGGAGTCAACCATATGTCATTGCAAAAACAAACTTGTGGATATAATCTTTTTTTCAAATGCTTTGTGAGGGGGGCGGTTGTGGCACAGTGGTAGGGCAACTCACTTGGGACCAGAACGTTAAAGGTTCAATTCCCTGCCATGCACATATGATGTTCTTGAGCGAGAACCCCTAATCCCTACCTGCTCCCTGAGAGCTCATTGTACCTGCTGCTCCACTTYAGTGTATCTCGTGATGGGTCAAATTCAGAACACAAATCTCATCATTGTATGGAAACATGCATTGATGGCAATACATGAGATATTTTGCCAAATGTACAAACAAGTYAGCACATCATGGTGATAATAAACAGAAAATATCTTCCTTTTACACCTCATACCTGTTCAGGCTGACCTTGTTGTTGTTGTGAGCTGATAGGCTGAATTTGTGGACGTTTTGAAAACTAATGTAATCTTTCCTCAATGAAAGGAATAAAGAGAAAAAGGAAAAAAATACAGTTGTTTGTAATAAAATGAGGTGTATCAATTACTTGAAAAAAATAAAATAAAAAACAACTAAGTAAAAATAAAAATACCTTGAYAAAAAATAATTTTGGTAAAACTGTATTTCACTGATGAGAAAAGTGTTTAAGTAAAGCCATAAAACTGATTACAATATTTGGAAAAGTAAAAGTATGGAGTTGACTAAATTCCTTTACATTTACTCATCTCAGTTAGAGGAACCAGTAGACATAACTTGGTTAAGTACTTTCATGATGAGTTTTGGTTATATTTGAATTTGTAGCATGCAACGAGGTGTTCAATTTWAAAATAAAGAAGTAAAATTACTTATTTTTTATGTTTCTAATGTAACAAAATAAAGTAAATGTTACAACTTTAATAAAAAGACTTGGTAAGAATTACAACTAATAACTTAAACCCTGTAACATGGCTGGATAGTTTTCCTTTTGATCTGTTAATAACCAGCCTGTGGTATAGGTAGTAGAGGCAAATGCTAAGGGCGCTGACCATCTAATGGTGGATGGAAAAAATTCATAACTTTTTATCATTATAGTTGATTTAGTCTAGAAAAATCTCTGGTTACTCAGGTTTATAAAGGTAACTTGTTCTGTGGGTTTGTAACTACATTAGGTGTCATATGCAGAAATGGTTTCTAAAGATAAATAAATAATATCAAAAACAAATGTAAATTGGCAGCGAAATTTAAAAATAATGTAGAGGAACGCCATCTGAAATCTTGCCTAGGACAACAAATTGGCCAGGGTCGGCCCTGTTAATAACCATAAGAACGGTTCAACTGTGTGATAACTTGAGTTTTCCATTAATCTCAACTGATGAAACAAAAACCTGTTATCAGATGTTCTCCTTCCCAAACCCTTCGTGTTGATGAGCAGTGTGTTACTATACCTTTATGTAACAACAGCAGAGTTCAGCAGAGAAAGACAAAAGTGATGTGAACTGACAATATTTTAATGGGGGGCACAAAAGACTGTAAGTGATCAATGGATGCGGCAGCCAAGTGATGCCCGGGGGACGCCTTTGATGTGGGGATCCTCAGAGGGACGCCGGGGGACAATGCCCTCTTTCAGCGGCACGAATGGCAAACACTTCCCTGTCC